TAAACCTAACGGTATTTTCCGTTAGAGGTGTATCCAGCCTTGTCAGGTGATCACACGACACGTGACCGCTCTCTAATGGAACGCTTCTAATGGAACGGACGCGCTTAATGGAATGGCTCGAGCTAGGTCTCTCTCATATTTTACGCTAAACAGCGCCCGTATATTGTGAACGATACAATCTGAAGACAACCCTTATCAAATAATTTGAATATATATATATTCATTTCTCAGAACGTTCACATTTTAGAGCAATTCCTATCCCAATAAGTTTTACACTACATTATAAATAACACAATACATATAATATCGCCCGGGCAAATGCACGACTCGTGTTTATCATTTACTGTGTATTCCCTACCACGGTAATTGATAGCCTATAGTCACGGAAATCCTTTGAAGAAAGAACAACCCTTCCTTCTATTACTGATTAATAATTAAACCCAGGTCACTGAGGTAGCCCAGCAGTAACGTTTACAGGTATGTTCCATACGATATGTCTGAGGAACTTCAAGAGAAACCATCGCATGTATATAGGTATCTCGGGGAATTATTAGAATGGCAGAGAGGGAAAAAGAAAACTTTTCTTTCGAAGTAATACTATATCATAGCCGCTGGCTAAATCGTTTCTATTGCCTTGTTACATTATTTCGCTGCAGGTATCAATTCTGCGCATGGAATGTATAATTCATGATTGCACTGAGTTTCACCCCAAGGAAGAAATTACCAATACACCGAATGTTACTATGGAAACGCGATGATCAGAAATCCACTTGGGTATCATATGCATGTGCTCCAATGCTCGTTTCGAAAGAGCTCAAACCAATTTTATTGCGAATTTATCGTGTTGTCATCAAGGAAAACTTGTGTTTTCATTAACACCGGTGAGACCTTGAAGTTCCCACAATCTTATAATAACAACCTATGATCGGATTAATTATTCATTTTCACGTGGGATTAGTTTTGTATTACGATATTTGTTGATGGTCACGGTTGTCGCCCTGTGTAAGCAAATGGCATTTATGTCTAACATGTGTGCTTATTATAGAACATACTGAACATATCAATAATTAATGTCAAAATAAGTCTCCGAGTAATTATTTAATCGTATGTAAGGGACACTTTTTTTGTTTTTTTTTGTTCAATATCAATCTACTTTAAGATGAGAAGAAATGTAATACGTATAAAATGGAAATTGAACAGCAGATTACATGAATTTTTTAATATTAAACATACTTCTTGACATCAGTAAGTATCTTGTAGGACACTACCTTATGTTTTCACTTTATAACAGCAAGAACAAATTCGGGATACTTGATATATATATCAATGGGAAACAAACGAGGGTAGGGTAAAATGCCTTGAACCCGAACCTTTTCGATCCACAATCTACGTCAATTTTCTTCAAAGAAAATTTGTATGATGACTCCATATTCTTATTCAATTCACCTACATCGGAAAAAGGAGAGCCTGTGTGCAATATAATATAGTGATCTCTCTCCAAAATGTTGTTTAATTCACCCAAATAAATTGTCAGGCTGCAGTATGCCTCGTTGATACATCATTATATCTATAACGCTGTTAATACATTGACTGCCAACATTTCAAACCAAAGCCTTGCAAGTCAAATTACGACGGACTACTCGGGTTGCATTGCAAAAACGCAATTTGTCGTTGGTCTGCACAACAGTCAAAATCATTGTTCACTCGCGCATGCGTGGTGCGATGACCACCGCCCTTTAAATATATTCTATGACGAAAACAAGCACTGACCAAAGGTTCAAAGTTTCAAGCTCACTAAGTTGTTTTATAAACAAGAATACGTACATGGATATGTACTTCGGAAGATGTTTGCCAACCAGTCACTGCGCACGCACACGTGCGCTAAATGTAAACAAGTGCGACGGCCTATAGAGTAATACTAACTTCAATGCTCATATACATTCTACTCAGAAATTAGCGTGACATGTAGGCGTGAGTGGCGCCCTCGCCGGCCGAACGGTGTTGGGTTTGGAGCACCGCGAAGGGCGCAACTCACGTGACCGTGTCAGGCTACTTAAGAATCGGTAATAACCGACAAAAACACAACGACGACAATAGCGATGACAGAACCACAATCAACAGCAACAACGATCAAAACGACAATTGCAATGAAAATAACAACGACAACAGCGATAACACCAAAAACAACGACACCAACAACGATGACAACAACACAACAAAGATAACGACGACAACAGCACCAACAAAATGTCATCAATGACGATACTAACTATGTCAATTAATTAATTAACATTTTTATTTAGGGTAAAGTACAATGATACATTTAAATTTAAATGAGTATATTTAAATACATGAATAACATTCACAACGCGTCTTCCCTGTCTGAAAAAAAAATCAATTTTGACCTGAGCTGACACCAGTAACCAAAACACAAGTATTGTACAAGAAACATTCAATGAAATCCAGATGGTTAAATTTTCTAACATTTCAGTAATATATAACAAAATGAAAATGTGGCGGAGGTACTCGATAACATTCCGTAATTGAAAACATTTTAAGTTTAATACTTGGCACATTGTGACGTCATTTTTTTTTTTACATTTCAGCATGCACATGTCTGACAAAAAATGACGAGCACAGATAAGCACCACTAGCTCTGATGTGACACCGTTGCTCGTAGGTTGTTTCTATTAACGCATAGTTACCAATCCCAACAGATTACCAGCTAATACCATCAGTGAACAACGCCATAACTTTATCTCCAGGTTCGAACGACTAACCAATACCACGCGCGCGAAACGTAAACAAGTGCCTCCACCTCATATAGTAAACATCGAATACAGTATTATGCATGAATTTTAAACCTAGTTAAAAAAATGCGTATCAGTGTGGGAGGACACTAGACTACTGGGGCACGTATGTATCGGATAATTACATTTTCAATAATATACATACTAAAAATAACGGTTATATAGGACCAATAAACAAATATTTGAAAATATAACGATTCCTGGAACACGTGAGGGCGCAAACTGTCGTCGCCGAAACATAGCCCCAACTTAACATGCAAAAAGTCGAATAAATATCCCTGCGTTGTTACTGTAGTACACTGTTTAGATAAATTATACAGAATACATAATATTAAATATGAATATATGTTAAATTGAAATGTTTATATAATAATAATAAAGATTCATGTATTTTTTTAATATACATATATGCTGGTAAGCCACTATAAAAAAAAACACTGTGATATAGACAAGACTAGAATACAACAATTTACGCCATATTTCAACTGCAATGTGTGATCATTTCTATCAAAAAGAGGACGATCTTCTAGAAAAGCCGGACAAAATTGACTATCAAAAAAGTCGATGCGTTTGGTAATTAATGAAAACCAAGTATTTTTTGTGTTTTATTTGAAGTTATATTGTCGGTAAATAGTTGTTGAATAACTAGGGTTGTTGTGTTTAACGCACTCCCGTAGGTAGAATTCGAAAAGCAATTTATGACAATATTTATTGCAATGAAGACAATCAATAATTTAGCAGACAAACAAGTGAATGCGTCACGTTTTGATCATTGTACCTTGCGAACGTCTAACTTTCATAATTTGATTTTTTTGGTTAATCTACTAAAAATTGAAAAGGCCTTCAACTAAGCTTTACCAACAATACTGCTTTAAGATAGAGTTGGTACATCAATCATGTATAAACCGCGCCCTCTAGCGACGAACCGTGGAAGTGTGAAAGTAAAAACAACGTAGATGTTTAAGGCAATGTCGGTCAAAACGAGCACTGTGTTCTGTTGTTGTTCTTCTTCTTCTTCATTTAGAATAAGCTATTTTTAATGGCGGCGACTACAGATCAAAACAATATCAAACGGCATACTTATTTACGTCACAAGAAGCGCATTGTCGCTAGACGGCGTAAGTTATAACCGGTGCATTACCTAGTAATTAAGGTCACATAAAAAATACAACTAGTTGTGAAATACAGAAAACTTTTTTCAAAATACGAAAATGTTGGTAAAACATGAATACATTTATTTGAAGAATAAAGTTAACCATTAAATGCACTCTATACATATATAAAGAGCCACGTTGCCGCACAATGACGAGGATTTATTTAATTATATACAAGTTTGTAACTACCATTATTTTATAAACGGACATCGCTGGTACTAGTAAACAATATATTTCAAGCCGAGATTGATTATACTTCCCTCATTGGTTATGACGTATTTTCTTTTGTTTTTACAGTCGAAATTTACAGAGGGCCTTATTCAAACAAACGACTTTCAGGAAAACGCACATATTCCTAGGATTGTATTATTAATCATCTTCCCTGTTCGTCGAGGATGCCGCGTGACTAACCATTTCAGTAACGCTCTTGTAAAACAGTTCTTTTCTTACTTCAGAGCCGCAACAACTGTTGATATGGTCCGGGAAAACGGCGTCCTCATCGATGATAATACAGCACAGCCATGAGACATAAAGACCCATGCCGCCCTACCGACACGCGCACGTATCCACGACCATATTGGGGTAGACTTTCAAGACGACATTCCTGCTTTCATCGAAGTACAGAATACTTAGCGGGGAGAGTTTATCGGGAACACAACACGGCGGTGGCACCCCCTTCACTGCGTCTAGCGCGTGGACGATACTTTGAACAGCAGCGTGGTTAGACGGGTTCAATTCCTGTGGGTAAAGATAGGAAATAGCGAACGTGCGTAAAATGATAGTACCAGTACATAATGTGAATACACTAAATAACAAATCAAACTAAATTTGGGGCCAGCGAACTTGAATTAAAGCATTTAACCAAATATTTGAAAGGCTACGTTAAAACACATGTATAAT